CAACAGGATGAAGGCTCACTATTTTAATTTAGAGCTAAAGAGATAAATTAGAAATGATCCAACTCAATCCATAAGGCGTTTTGGCACATGAGAGAGGAGTTTCAGCTATGACAGTCCAAAGAACAGTGAAGAAAGACTTGAAAATGAAATCGTACGTGAAACCTGTGAAGCATCTTGTTAATTCTGGACAGAAATTACGAAGGTTAGAGAGGGCGGAAATCATCTTGAATAAGTTGAAAAATGATCCTGGAATAATATGCATATATTTGAACTTTATTTCAATACTTCATGAGCTAACGATCTTTAGCTATGATTAATTAATGAGGAATATGTCATATTCATTTATGATCGATTTCATCACGATTCTTCTGTTAAGCTTGGAGAATAATTACTTTCTTATTTCTCAAACTAGGAGTTCAATAGTGTTATAAAAAACCTCGGAGAATTCCAGTAAGATATCTTTAATCATTTCTAAGATACAACGGTTCAAAGATTAATCTAACAAATGAACAATTTTGCTGGAGCACTCAGCATATATAATGGCATTAGTGATGTTTTACTGTTAAGTCCTATTTTCTATATCAATATTTTCTAACTAATATATATATATATATATATATATATATATATATATATATATATATATATATATATATATGTGTGTGTGTGTGTGTGTGTGTGTGTGTTTTTTGTGTGTTTCTGTGTGTGTGTAATATACTCAGATGGTGTGTATTTTTAGCAGAGACAAATTGAATAAAAGACAAAGAGAATAACTATACTTAGCCGATGTGTCAGATGACGAAACACGTCGGCTAAATATAGTTTTTCCTCTTGATTTTTCTCATTCATATATATATATATATATATATATATATATATATATATACGTACAATACAATTTTCCTAGTATGAAAAACCCTAACAAAAGCATCATAGGCCACAGAGAATGTCTAGTTTCTCTACCTGTAATGCAATCGTAAGGTGCACTCTTGAAAAACAAATCACAACTTGTAAGCTGATCCAATATTAATAAAACATCAACCATTCATGAATGCAATGGCTAAAGCTCAGCTTAGTAAATATCAATCACAGTCGACAGAACGACACTTATTCATGATTTATTACAAAGCCAAACTGAATTATTAGCCTTTTGAAAGATTATGAAGCACTGATATACAAATAAATGATGAACGACAAAAAATCCGACGCCCGGTCTTCATCTACAATGTACGTACGCAGGTTTTATGCAGGTATATATTTACGTATGTTTGCGTAGGTAAATCAACAAATCTGTAGCCAAATGATGAAAAAAAAAAAGCACTTCATTCATAAGAATATATTAGTTTATATAGTTTCATTCGGACAGCTTCTTTCGAAGAACCGCTACTTTATTGAACAGACACTCGATCTAATGCTTTCGAAGTCGCTATAATTTTAACTCTTCACTTATACGGTCAACCGATATCTATCCTACATATGCTCATAATCTTCACTTCTAGCCTCTCTTATTGTGCCCATAAAACAACCTCTTTTCTGTAACCTTCTTAAAAGTATTTTGTACTCTACATATATTTGTTGCATTGTCAATACACTTTATTCGGTCGTTAATTAATCACAAAAAAAAACATAGAAAAGTGTGACTTTTCAACTGATTCTTCTTTTTATTATCTGCGTTTGTATGATAAAAATCCACAAATTCCAAATCTCCATGTATACACAGTCGGCCTCCTCGCAACAATTCCCATAGTAGGAAAAGTTAGTTGATTTTATAGCAGTTCGGTTGACCCTTATCATGTTTTCGATTTGTGGAGCATAGAAATGGATTAGCGTATTTTCCTTTCTAATTCATTCCACTTACTAAAACTTGAACTACGATTGGTTAGCAGAAGCTAATTTGCATGAGCACGCTGACCTCATAAATTGTTGAAGGATTTTCTCTTTCTTTTTTTATTTCAGCATGCGATAGGAGAACGTTTTGGACTTCGGGGTATATCACCATTTTCTTCTGTACTTTGAATTACCAAGAATTCTTAGGGGAAACTAGTGAAGAGGTTTCACGTTGCCTTCTCTAAGGTTTGAAATTGCAAATTTTTCTTTTCTTTGACTGTTCGCTATGTAAGGCTAGTGAAACCGGTTTACCCTGCTATTTAATATAACAGAATTTTTTGCAACACGCTTATACATGTTGAAATCCTTACATTATTTAGTACTGCTGAAGTTATCCCTAACATTTTTTATCGAAATTTACAAACACTACATATTGTTCAATTTCGCATACCAATCGATGAAATCACTACAAAAATAGCCATTTTGTTTCAAGACTTCTGGCGTCTTTCAAATGAAATATATATATATATATATATATATATATATATATATATATATATATATATATATATTATGAAGAACTTGGTAATCCGTATCGGTAATCCCAAGGAGGATGAAATCCTGAGAGCTCAATGTAAACCCAGAGCTAATATTTTAAAGAAAAACAGACCACTTTGAGGTACCATTATAATAATTTATTTCACCAGAGCCCCTTTAAAGGACATAGATCATCAGATAGCACTTCCAAAAATGAAATTAAATGAATCATTTCAATTTTGGAAGTCCTATCTGATGATCCGGCGTCCTTTAAAAAGACTCTGGTGAAATAAATTATTATAATGGTACCTTCAAGAGGTCTGTTTCTCTTTAAAATTATAATATATATATATATATATATATATATATATATATATGTGTGTGTGTGTGTGTGTGTGTCTGTGTGTCTGTGTATGTGTATATGTGAGTTAAAATTTAAGAAACAGCAGATATTTTTATATATAATATTCAATATTAAAAATATTAATAATAATATATATAAAAAGGAGCTCAATATTATATGAAAACATTACTTATCATTTAAATGTCAATTTTATCCCGACTTGGTAAAATTTTAATTCTTCAGGTGGTTCTGTTGGTTTTGGTTTTAAACGATATTAAAATATCGTTTAAAACCCAAATCCTTGAAGACAGGAAATTTTACCAAGACACTGCGAAATCGGGGTAAAAATTGATATTTGAAAGTTATCTTTTAATCTTTTATATTATATATATATATATATATATATATATATATATATATATATATATATATTCTTACGACAGCGGTGCCCTGCAGAAAACCTTCATCAGATGCTGAGCTTGGGTTTGCGCCATAGCATTTTTGCCAATAATCAAGTCTCATCGAGAGTATCTTGTGATACGACCTGACCCTAACATTTGCGGGAGTGCTAGGTGCAAGTCGATTCAATCTTTGCTCTTATCTTGAAGAGATATCTCCTTTGATATCAGCCAGTGATAACCCACATTGACTGAAACTGAGGTGTGTGTGTACACTATATATATATATATATATATATATATATATATATATATATATATATATATTTATATTAAAATAAAACTAAACTAAACTAAAATAGTCCTAAGGAGCCAGATTATTTTATTTTTTGGTCTACTTAGTGTATTGAGCACTTTATGTTTAGTCTTTTACTTATTTTTTTTTTAATTTTTTTTCTTAGGACTTGGAGCTCAAGCACTTGACGAGAGGATTCGTACAGTGTTGTGTTTTTGATTCTTTCCTTTTTTTATTTCCAATTTTTTCTCGGACATCAATTTGTTACATTACAAGTTGAGCCAACAGAGGTTTTTCAAAACGAGTATTACCATTCATATATATATATATATATATATATATATATATATATATATATATATACGCTTTCGAAGGTTTGGTTTATTTATACCTCGTATATATACATATGTATTTTGAGTTATATATATATATATATATATATATATATATATATATATATATATATATATATATATATATATATATGTATGTCAAGTTAGAATTTTTAAAACATTCTTCTCCGGAGTAAATATCTTGTTAAGAAACAATAAAGCGAAATAATTTATTTTGATTTATCGGGTGTTAATCGAAATAAATGTAAATTTTTATTATAATATCTATATTCTTCTCTTTCTTTATGAACCCATTCCAGCATAAAGTCACCCACAAGCAATGCATATATGGTACGAAACATAATCTTCCTCGTAATTGTCTTTGACGCCCAAATAAAATTCGAATAAATTTATCGGTTTAATTAAGGTTTCTAAAAGTATTAAAATATAAAGATTTCTATTTACAAACATTCTATTCCAGATATCCGGAGTTGCAACCACTAAGCTACATCTATCGCATCATGAAAGCTATGTGGGTCAACGGTCTGAGTTAAATCCATAATCTCCTGGAAAGAAATGATATGTTCTGATTGACTTGTATACGGTTTTTACAGAAATCGCTGAGCAATTTACACAAAAACATATTAGTTATTTTATGGCGATAAAAGCATCTCTTTCCTTTTACTATTATTTTAGCTCATTCTTTTTTATATTTTAATTTTTCTCTTTATTTATATATCGTTTGTTCTCTTTTCTTTCATCAGTGTCTTCTTGGCTTACGGCCATATCACGATGAAACATCGGTTCCCGGAAAATCAACGAAGTTAAACCACATCGAGCTTAGTTAGCACCTAGATAGGTGACCGCTTTGGGATACAAAGTGTTGTAAGCTTGGATATGCGGATGGTGCAATGGGTAATGGTTTGGAATTGTTAATCGGAGAGCTGAGTTTTAGTTCTCGTTCTATTCGCTTATGAACTAATACCCTTGGGAAAGTGATGAATGCATCTCTTCTTACCACAGCTATGGGTTAATTAGTAAGATTTTTACTGCTAAAACAGTTCTTATCTAAAATAAACAAATAAAAATGAATAAATAAAGTAAAATTGTCTATAAAATAGATGTCGGCATTAAATAACCCATCGTGATTGTTATGTAGCTAAACAAAAAATGCCAACCAACCAAAACAATTCTTACAATCTAAAAATATTCTCTGGTTATAAATAATGCAGAATGTTAATAAGCTGTAGAAAACGATCAATCAATCAATGTTGTTTCTTCTTCTTATTCATCCTCCTTTTCATCTTTATCTTCTTTTTCTTCTCCCTTCATCTTCTTTCTTTCTTTCTTTCTCTTCTTTTTCTTCTCCCTTCATCTTCTTTCTTTCTTTCTTTCTTTCTTCCTTCCTTTCTTTCTTTCTTTCTTTCTTTCTTTCTTTTCTTTTTCTTCTCCCTTCATCTTCTTTCTTTCTTTCTTTCTTTCTTTCTTTCTTTCTTTCTTTCTTTCTTTCTTTCTTTTCTTTTTCTTCTCCCTTCATCTTCTTTCTTTTTCTTTCTTTCTTTCTTTCTTTCTTTCTTTCTTTCTTTCTTTCTTTCTTTCTTTCTTCTTCTTCTTCTTCTTTCGTATTCTTCCTTTTCCTTCTTCTTCCTTCTTCTTTCTTCTTTTTCTTCTCATTCTTCTTTCTTCTTCCTTCGTATTCTTCCTCCTTCAAATTCTTCCTTTTACGTCTTCCTGCTACTTCTTCTTTGTCTTCCTTCATCTTCTTTCTTCATTTTCCTCTTTATTCTTCTTCTTTCCTTTTCTTCCTTCATCTTCATCTTCCTTCTCCTGTTCCTCCTCCTCCTTCTTCTTCTTTCCTATTCTTCCTCTTTCATCTTCTTCCTTCTTCTTTCTTCTTCCTTCTTTTTCTTCTCATTCTTCTTTCTTCTTTTTCATTTTCTTCCTTCTTCTTTCTTCTTCCTTCTTCTTCTTTTTCCTTCTCCTTCATCTTCTTCCTTTTACGTCTTCCTGCTACTTCTTCTTCTTCTTCGTTGTCTTCCTTCATCTTCTTTCTTCTTTTTCCTCTTCATTCTTCTTCCTTCTTCCTTCATCTTCATCTACCTTCTCCTGTTCCTCCTCCTCTTCTTCCTCCTCCTCCTTCTTCTTCTTTTTCTCCACCACCTCCTCATTTTATTCTGTTTTATTTTAAACCTTACGCACCCTTCCTTTTGCATCTTAAATCTCTCAATTTTTCTGTCATTTCTATCTTTCCAGATGCAACTTTCAGTCTATGCAAATTCTTTTAATTACCTCATCTTCTCTGCTCCACGCCTCTTTTCTCTTTCTTTCTTTCTTTCTTTCTTTCTTTCTTTCTTTCTTTTTTCTCACTCTCGCTCTCTCTTTCTGTATTTCTCTATTTATCTTTATAGATAGAGATATTCAGCTGTTTAAAGATATCCTATCGACCATCTCAGTTTCCTGCGCATCGAGAAACGGATATCAGTTTTACGTTTCGAGGCTGTCTTTTGTCGCACGAAAAACAAAACAAGATATTTTCTGGCTGTTTTCCTAGCTTGCACTTGTCGGAAATATCCGACACTTTCATCTCCCTTTCCAACGCACTCACACCGACTTCCGTTCTCCACAGCCTCCGTCATCTCCTCGCGGACAACAGGCCGTGATCCGATACAGTTGGCGCTACTCAGCAAGCAAAACAAAAACTCCGACAAATTTCACCGGATTTTTCGTTTTAGGCAAGATCACTACTTGTTTGTTCTGCGAGAAGTTTTCCCTCTGTCCAAGCAACAAGACTAACAAACATGCAGTGTTATTTGACATTTGATGGGGATCAGTTTACGTCGTGAACGAAGTCTCACCATGTCAGCCTGAGTCGTTGCATTCTGCCTCCATTGCAATCGAAAATAGCGTAATTGCATTCACAATATTATTTTTAACAAACGTAATGCAAAATATGTTATAGTGCATATATAGGCGATCAGAAAACGGAATATACGCCACAAATAATTTTGTTATCTTTTCTAATGAATGATTCAGAAAAATAAGTGATAGATTTAACTAATTTTGTAGCTGATGATGGATAAATAAAATGACGGGATTATGAAAACTTTTTTTTATTAGGTTGGTGCAAAAATAATGACAATAATAATGTCGTTTTTGACGTTAAAAATACGTCAAAAACGACATTGTTACGTCATTATTTTGCACCAACCTAATAATATTTTATAATAGATTATCTTTTCTTTTATTATTTTCTTTTCTTTTGCTAAACTTCACTTAATACAAGACTCCAGACCCATTCAAAGTAGAGGGTAGTTGAATGGGGTAGGATATGAACGTAAGAAGAGGAAATAGAAAAATGAAGATGACGAGGATATGGAAAATAGATAACGGTTGACCTTAGAAGTTCAGATTATAAAGTTCGGGGAGCCTCCACGCGGCAATCTGTTCTACAATGTAGCGATTGGGAAGATGCTTTCGAATAGGAACGCCCTTTTTTTACTTGAGGATATAAATTTCCTTTTAATTACACCGGAATGCATTGATTAAGAAGACTTTTCGTTTTCTGGCAGTTGCTATGTTAATGCACTCGATACTTCTGAAAGGAATATAAGTATGTTAGAATTTTGTAGATACTGTGTAATATTACGTTTAAATTTATGACCTTTTGTAGATGTGCCCTCAAAATCTGGCGCAACTTATAAGGTAAATATTATTTTTTTTACAATTGATTAAAACGTTAAAATTGATGTTTCGATGGCTCTAATTATCGATATTACTGACTTTTACTTCTTCAAGACGATTCAGTCGACTTGTAAACGCACCAATTTATGCTATAGAGCACCTTATGGGTAACGAGCTATTCTTGAAGACAGTAATTGTTAGGGTGAATGAGTCTCTCTCTTGCCGTCATATTTAGGTCTTGTAAAAGAATAAGCTAAACTTGGGTGCCTCACCGTGAAGTAGTTGTGAGCATGAAATGAGTTCTTTCCTTACCGAGTGCTTGCTGTCTTGTACGTAACAAAGATAAGATTAGTAAATATCTATTGGCTGTTGGGCGCATCACCATGGTTAGCAAGCTAGTCTGTCAGTAACACCAGTGAATTAGTTGCTCTCTGGAAGATTTACACCCTGTCTGAGGTTATTAAGCAAATCATATAAACTTCAGCAATTCAAATTTGGTTTGAAAAAAATTGTCAAATTTTAAGCAATCAATTTAAATGCCAAAACAAAGCCTGAGTTAAAATTTTAGGTAGCATCAATATGTTTTACTGAAGTTATTGAAGTTATTTGATGTATTTTAAAATAAACAAAAAAACTGCCGTATGAAATTTTTAGCCAAAACCAAATAATCACATTTTACTTCAATAAAATAGTAATAAAATCATCAAAAATTGATCAACGTCTATAACAGAACAAATAACAAACACTTATGATAAGTCTTAAAATCCTTTACATTTTAATATAATGGCCCTTCTTCTCAATAACAGCCATCAATTTCGTTAATTTTTTTTTTTTTTTACTTCAGCAGGTTCAATTTCCACATGGTAGTTTTAATTGCTTCCCATAGGTCTGTTTTGCTGTTATATTGTTTGCCACCTTCATATAATTTCATCTTCATAACTGACCATAGAGTTTTGATCGGATTCAGCTCAGGACTTGATGATAGCCATTTCACTATCTTCTCTCTTGTAAATCGTTTATGCTCAAAGAATTCACTGGTAAGCTTAGATAGATGAGAAAAAGGAGCATTTTCGTGCATAAATATACACTTCACTTTGAAACTGCGAGACTGGGACTTGTACCATACAAAGAAAATCTTGTTCATAAAATCGCAGTAGTTAGAACTGTACAGTTTAACTTCATCGACTCTGAATGGTCCAATAATGGTTTGGTTGACAATTTCCAGCCCCTATTATAAAACTACTACCTCCTTGTGACGTTCTTTTAGCCACAAGCACGTCTTAATTGGATTAAATCCATCCTTTGACCCATCCATCAAACTTCTCTTGAGATTCGTCGGTGAAAATAACTTTGGAAAAGTCAATTTTCATGTATTTCTTGGTCCAGTATTGAGGCTTTAAAATATTTGCTTTAGTGAGAATAGTTTGCCCAGAAGATTCTTTTATCTAATCCCAATTCACAAATATTCTACACCTTTTGTCCTTCTTGACTTCCTCAGTTCCAGCCTTTTCAAAGATCTGAGCGCTGGTCAAGTGGTTGTTTCGCTGTAACACGGTTCAGTTTACGTTCATCTCGAGGAAGCAAGTTCTTAAAGCCTTTTCCTTTGCTTCGAGTTCTCAACTTACTTATATTTTTAACAGCCTTCTTTATCGTTCGATGATCTCTGGAAAGCTCCTTTGATAATTCCATTGTGGACATTCCCCCATTCAATAACTTTATTATTTTCTGTTTTTCAGCAGTTGTTAGATCCTTTCCTTTACCCATGTTGCAACATATATTATGGAGAAAAAGAAAAAATAGTTTTATTAGATTTCAGAGGTCTTAAGCTAATACTAATATAATCTGCATATAAACTTCAGTCGGCCCATTTTCGTAAATTCCAAATATTTCAAAATCTAGCCATTAAGATGGCAGAAAATTTAGATAAATATTTTACTAAGACTGGAAATTGACGAGTTTAAATTTGACAAATATTGGTTTAGAACTGTTTGAGTTATTGACGTTTATTTGATTTGCATAATAACTTCAGACAGGCTGTACACTTGGGACTAATAAGCTAAGCCTGATAAATAACATGGCAACTTTGAGCTATGGTGTTTTTGTTGCGCTGATAATACATATATACGTACCTATATATATATATATATATATATATATATATATATATATATATATATATATATATAAGTATGTATATAAATGGTGTTCCAATAACTTGGACCGATTTTAAATGTTGAATTATGTTTAAGCGTCTAATGATTTTTTTCTTTTTCTTTCAGATTTGGTGGACATTTGGGCGATATTTTTTTCACACATAATTGCCATGGCTTAAATAATATGATCCAATAAAGAAATAAATTTTCACCAATAACACTGACTTATTTATTGCTGACTTTGATCCGTCTTAATGAAATACCCTTATATATAACCCGTCTTAAGGAAACACGCTATATATATATATATATATATATATATATATATATATATATATATATATTTACTACTACTCCAGGCTTAGGATCACTGAAGTTAAGCAACGTCGACCTTGGTTAGAAACTAGATGGGTGAGCGCTTGGGAACACCAGATGCTGCATGTGTGAGTGATGTAATGGATAAGGTTTCGGAATCGGAAATGGGAAAGTCGAGTTCCAATTCGAGTCGGGGTCGTCATATTCCGTTATGCACAAATACCCTTGGAAAAGGTATGAATCCACATTTTACCCTCACCAGCTATCTGACAATTGGTATCAGTAAATCAGTATTATCTTCAAAAATATAAGCTGTAAAATATAAATCAACCAAGTTATTATGTATATAAAAGATTTGAAAAAAAAATTATATTAATTGATGATGCACTATTCTAAAATGAAATAAAAATAATAATCATAGATAAATACAAATCTTTTACGTCTATACGTTAATTCGGGTTATCGTAAATGCCAAATATAATGTTTTAAGAAATTTTTTTTTAAATTTAAAAACAAAATATCATTTTTAAAAACTATAATATTTAACAGCGCTAACATTGCGGTAAACAGATATATTTTTTAAATTCAATTTACGTAATGGTCAGTCTATGAAGATTGAAGATTGCGTTTTGCATAAAACAAATTTAATAAAGTACATCAACCCAGAACCTGTAGATGAATGTTATGATCCCTGTTTATAAATTCCAGTTGCATAAGGTCTTTTTTAAGTTTTTTACAAGCTTTCATCTGTTCCTACAGACATCATCAGGTATGGAAGTAGATTTGTTTTTGTTTTTTACTTCTCGGTAATTTCTTAAAACATTTTTTCGGATTACATTTATATTTTCGTTGTCCTGTTATTACTGAGAAGTAAAAAACAAAAAAAACAAATCTATTTCCATACCTGAAGATTTCTGTATGAACAGACGAAAGCTTGTAAAAAACTAAAAATGACCTTATGCAACTGGAACTTATAAACAAGGATCATAACATTCATCTACAGGTTCTGGGTTAATGTACTTTATTAAATTTATTTGCGAAGATGTATTCTCGCCATTTATATCATTAAATTCTATATCTGTTTTTTGTGTGAATGATTCATGTAATATAAAATGAACTGCGCCACATACTTGATATATACATACAAACATATATATATATATATATATATATATATGGCAAAAAATCAAAAATTACCTCATGTGGGTATAGTCTATTTCAGACTATCACAGCTATATGCCAATCTTCCTCAGCCGAAGTCTTTTTTTGGAAACTATCTTATATAAATACATTGAACTATCAGTTTTAATATCTGATATTACTAAGATCCACCTGGATTATATACCAACGGATCTATTATCTGTACCACACACACACACACACACACACACACACACACACACACACACATATATATATATATATATATATATATATATAATTAAATTAAAAAAGAGACAACCTTAAGATTCTATGTCATGTCTCTTTTTTAATTTAATTAATATTTGCTCTGGTGTTAA